ATATATATATATATATATTCATTTTTTCTTTGAAAATTGAATCAAAGAACACTGTACATAGATACAGCTACATATATATTATATGCTATACATGTTTGTATGAGACGTTAGTTAGTACATTAAAAAAGTTAAAAAGCTGTACGAAGTGGGTGAGCGAGTTTTGTGTTTATTCATATAAACATTTTCGTTACTTTTCGCTTGAATTATTAATGTTTTACTGCATTAGTTTTGCATTAAAGTTTTCATTTGGCACAGAAGTGATTTTGGGGGTATAAAATGTGAACGGTGCTGTATTGGTTAGTGATCGAACGGGAAATTTCGTGAGGATGGATGGCAGTGGTGGTGATGGTGGTGGTGGTGGTGGTGGTGGTGGTGGTGGTGGATGCGGTGGATGTCGTGGATGTAATGCAATTAACGGTTTCTGTTGCTGCTTACTTTTCTTTTACAATAATTCATTTAACTCAAAGTTCATCAACAATTTAACTTCATTTTTGCAGAAATTTTCTAGTTCCGTATTTGTATTTATTTGGCGGGGATACGCACCTTGAATGTGGAAATACCATTGATGGTGGATTGAACATGGGCGTTGGTGTGTGTGGCGGTTGCAGCGATGCCGCAGCCGTGTCTGGATGTAAAAAGTTTTTTCGTTGTTCTAAACGTTCCTGATGTTGCGTTAGGCATCTAGTTATAATTTCTGGCAGACTTTCCATATGTTCCTGGAAAATAAAACCAATTTTCCCAAAATTATATATGATTTGTTTAATGAAAATTGTAAAAATGTTAATTGATTGAAATCTACTTGAAGTGCTTGCAATTTCTCCTCTAAATTGGTAAGCCGTTCCTCTATAGTATCTTGCCGACTCGACATATCCGAAATGATTTCGTAGACGCTATTTTGAGTCTAAAATAAAATTTAATAACGGATGAATTTCAAGGGATCTTATCTTATCTACATGGCCGAAAAACCGATCCGAATATTGCCTTACCTTAGCCATATCGGTTATTGTGTTGGCATTATCCATCAGTTTGCGTTGATCCATTTTCACTTTTCGTAAGCTATTCATGTTATTCATATTCGGAAGATGTGTTGTTTTAGAACAAAAAAAAAAAAAAAAATAAACAGAAGAAGCCGACGTGAGAAGTGAACGAGATTGTAAAACTTAAAATGTATAAAAAAAAAAAAATAAAAAAAATTGTACAAACATAAGTCTTTCGAAATTTTTTTTTTTTTTTTTTCTAATATTTCAAGCAATCTTAAACGATTTACAGTGGAGATGCATATCTTCGGCCTAAATGTTAGCACCTTAATGTAACTCCAATTTGTTTGTAGTTTGACAACAGACCCTCTAGTTTTTAAAATGGAGTTTTGAATGTTAATATCCAGTTGTAGAATTATTGGAGATTAATTGTAAGAATTAATTATGAGACGGGTGTGGTGATTATAGAAACTGGTTCCCATAGTCTTATCCTTAATTAATCGTATCTTGGAAAGATTTGCGTGTCATTGTTATCTTCCAACGGCGATCTTATTTACTATAATCCCTTTATTGATAACCTTGTCAAAAACATCGATTAATGCATCCACTCTGTCAGTTCTTACCTACCTATTTTACCGTATTGTGTTACTGAATCTTCTTCTCATAAATACTAAAGAAAGATAGATGTATGTCCGTCTTTTTATTTCTCAAAAATGCAGTTATTTCAGAACAAAATGAATGGACAGATTAATTAAAGTGTTATCCATTGCTGGATTCTCAGGCAATTTTCGAGTTCCATCTCGAACATGGGTTTGGTTTTTCGAAGCTATCCACAAAGAAGCCCGGATTTGGATGTCGCCATAAGAACCGAAGTACCGCTCGAGTAACAATAATCTATTGAAATCTCCGCCAATCGGATGGAGAAAAATCTGCTGTCAGGTTAGAACTGCATGCATATCCTAAGCAAAGCTTTGCTGTATGTGGTCTTCATACCGTTAAATCACGATTTTCCCCCCCTTTCTTAGTATGCCCGGTCATTCAGTGAATGCCTACTATTCGTGCAAAACGATCAGGGTCAGAAAGAAATGAAGAAAAAGAAAGAAATAGAGAGATCTTACTATAGATGCGAGCAAAGTAAACTCCACCGCATTTGAGGTTTAATCCCGCAACTACTGACTTTTTAATCATGATTCTTACCTCCTCGGATACTCATGCGGACAATTTTAAAAGTTTTGGTATATCCCGGTGACTTTTTCATTTGGTTGGAAGAAGCCATAATACACATCACATAGCTGACCCTCATAAATGTGGCCATCATGGGTATTCAGCTTTATTGTCGATGTAATTAGTTCGCGTATTCTGTATCATGGTTATTAGCGCTTTGTAAGCATTTAACGGCGTCATCCTTCAAATTAATAAGGAATAGTAAAGGTTTCGGATAATTTTGATAGAAAACTTCACCTATTCAAAGCGCCAAGAAATTATGTTGTGTACCCTTTAGCGTGATAATTTATACAGTCAGGTACAGCTTACTGACTGTACTTTCAAATAAAGAAGTCAAAGATTTATTCTACACCATATAGTATTACCTATACTTTCTCTTAGAAGACAGATCGAACTAATACGTACTTGCAATAATTGGGATTAAATTACAGCTTGGAGATTTGATTTCTGAAAGTAATCGTTTCATTATTACCATCGGTTAAACATTCCGTTGATAGTTAGAGTAAAGTAAGGGATAAGTAATGATAAGAGATCTATGTTTGTTTTTTAATGGACTCGTTTCCACCAAAATTGAAAATTTGCATCTCAACTGCTCAGTGCGTAAATGATTGATTTATTAACTGATCAATTTTTCACTTTATATATTATTATGGTTAGTATTTGAATGATTAGTATTATAGCATTTACATAATTTTCGTTCTGCAATTAGTTGATACTTAATTGATCTTGCATCTATATTCCTGAAATATATATACATGTATTCATATATATAAAAATATTTAGTTTGAAAAAACGACAATTCACTCCATTGTACTCTTGAAAAATACTTAGCAATGGTAAATTGAATTTCGTCGTTAAGATTGCAGAAAATCGTATCTCAAAATGTGTCCAATCTATCAGCTCAGAGGTGTTGCAAATTTTTATGACTTTTACTGAAATGTTAACGAAACCTTACCTAATATCGGAAATTAAAATGAAAAAAGAAATTGTAGAGAGCAATTTTACTTTTCACGTACGCTCACACATCCACACACATATATATATATATATATATACAAAAATGTATGCATACGTGCATAGATATACATATGTATATCTATTATATACATACACATGTATACGTAAGTACATACATACATACATACATACATACATACATACATACATACATAC